GTTGTCAATTGGCCTGAGTTTTAGTGAAAGGAGATATTTTATTCTCGTGAAGTGGTAAGGTTTTGTATGTATGGGAGTGGGACGTGCACCCATGATTCGGCAAATAGCAATATTCAATGAACAAAAAATATCGGGAACATCGGGATGACAGGCCTGTGAGTCACAGGCTGTGACTGACTGACTGTTTTTTCGGAATTGAATTTCGGAATGTTCTGAGCGGTTCTTTGTCCTTGAAACTTGATCTTTTTCGACCAATAGCAGTGCTTCTGAAATAAAATAGCATTTTATCAAAAGAGTAGTGGACGAACTACATTTAAATTTGTATAGGCGCTATTTACCTACTCTGGACATGTTTCAATATTTGTTTATATCAAACATAGCTGAAGTATTAAATGGCCAATTTTCAATTAAGCGATAAGATGAATTGCAATCAGTGATTAGCATGAAAATAGAATATTTTTCACATTTTACTGCCCTTAAGTGGGAAAGATAAAAAATGTGGTCACCTTTTTTTGTGTTCAAATAAAGTTTCGATAAAATGGTAAAACGTTACTCATAAAAAATGTTATGACTTTTTTTTGAACATCAGCCCTTACATATACAAAGGAACCAAAGGCATTCGGTCATAATTTATTGCTGATCCAGCAGATTCGCACCCAAATTACTAGGAAGTGGCGTGGATATATCCTTCAATGGAACAGCTAGTGCAGTCGGATTAGATTAGATTTTTTCCGGGCACTAAATATATGAAAGCAAATTTTTTTATATTAAATTAGGTTTTGGCACTATAACTTTTTTTGAAGGTGTCTGTATCCCTTATAAATATAAATTTTAGTTCCAAAAATTCATAACTTTCTGTTCATTCCTATTTGTTATATAAAAAGGACTCTTGCCAGATTCCAAATACATTTTTCTTGAGACCTCGGAGAGACTTCTCTGAGGCTGTATTTTACTGTTAAAGAGTTATACTACTTAAGTACCGTAAATGAAAATTTCATTACTGACTGACTAAAAAAAGTTATGGTACCATTTTCGTGAAATAAAACTAAATTAATTATTGAAAATTAACAAAACGCTGAAATGGACGGCTTTCTTTTTATTTTTGAGTAAACTAATGAACGGATTTTAATGTGGTTTATCTGATATCATAGGTATTTTTACTATTTGGAAAAAAGGATGATACTTTTTTTCAATAGCAACAACGGTTTAACAATTATGCAAAAAAACGGGCTTCGCACTGTCTTTAATTGTTTATAAATAATTGTTCATAAACAATGTTCCACAGCCGGAAATCGAGCACAAACTATAGTCTCAATATTCTGACATCCTTCCGAACAACTTATAATCTTTTACCATAATATTTTCAGTGCCCGAAACAGGCCTTTTAAAGTCTAATCCGAGTGGACTCAAAATACAGCCTTCAGCCACAAACCAATATTTATCATGGGCCACAATAACATGTAACAAAAAATCACAGATACTTGGAACAGGTACGAGCTTGGAACAGTCACACATGGAAACTGTGACTGAAAAATACTCGTTTGTGTCATCCCTAGCGTGGGCGATGACCGCGTGGTTATGATAGTACTGGCAACTGCGCGAAAAATTTGTACTGGCACGCCGGCGCAATAAGCAGAACCACATGGCGTCCTTTGCTTTGATTTGGAAATTTCTGATTTTCAGAGGGTGAAAAACTGGTGGAAAACGGCATTTTCGCGAAAAAAAGTCGTTCTGGGATTTTCTAAGAGGTCAGCATAGTCTTAATCGGCAAAGCGGTAGTCTTGCTAACAGATCGTGCCCTGAACATTTACCCAAGTGAATTGAATTATAA